GTTATTGAATAAGAATAACAATGATTTTAAACCGAGTGGAAGCTAAGAGTCATAATGACCCAGAAGCCAATTGTTTGTCAAGCTCAGTCAAACTTGTGTACACGTTTGACGGGTCAACCAGGGGCTTAGTTGAATGAAGATTGGATATACTCATGCTATTTCTGAAACTTCATAAAGATAACTTGTATTTGTAGAAAAATATTGATGGTTTATATGACACAAGAACAGCAAACTTAATTGCTCGGTAAAACATATTTTATTCTAGAATATAAATTAACAATAACTGTAGAATAGGATGTTTGCTTGGAATTATCAAATGTATATTTAGCAAACAAATTGACACTATAAGCCAAGGGATATTCAACAAACTCAATAGTTCTAAATGGTTAATCATCCGAAGAATTATTCACCTTCATGACACAGAGTTCCGTCGTTGTAATAATGTTGCCTCATTGGGAATCTTGTTGGCAAACAAATGAACCAGCAAATGCCAAATATCACACAATTTCATATGTTGAGTATAAAGCAATTACCAACGATATGTGAGATATTTTTGAAATAATAAGACTGGTAACAACCTTATATTTTTCTTTACAATTTTAATTTATTTATCTTTCCTAAATATCGATATAAATACAAAGATATGTCTTTGTTAACTTAATTACATTATCGGCAAACATAAACAACATATAATACAGGAATTTACACAATTCAAAATCAACGTAGTATGTTCAGTTGTATCTATGCTTGCTCCCCTTCCCATCCAAAAATGTTCCCATTGGTTTTTAGAAGTTTTCACTGGCTGTTAAATACTGAAATTGCTACTGAGACATTATGGGCCAAAATTTCAATAATTTTACAATTCATTACATCACTAAAGTTGATATCTCCATACACAAGTCTAATTGATTTCTTAGAGATAGGTTGCCCAACTCGGATACTTTGTGGAAGCCCATTCTAAGCTGGATGGCACTAATTGTAGTTTTTTTCGTTGAGACACTGTACGGAGTGGAATCTGATAATCTGGCTGTTCTGAATAAGTCTGAAAATACAATTGGTCAGAATGTAATAAAACCTGCTTGAAACTGAAAAATAAACATGTTGCAAAATCAACATCTTATACTATCAACCTAATAGACGGCTTGCCCAACCTTACAGGCAAACTATTATAGACAAATTTGAAGACAAGACTGATATTGTCACATTGAATTATGATAATAAGTAAATAATATTTTTGTAATGTTTTGCACTGGTATAACCATGTGCAGTAAAATAATACACAGGGTTACTCTAAATTGTAGAAACATGAATATGTTTCTTATAATTAATTAATTCATATATCCCGAAGATTTCACCTGTTCCGTTCCTGGCCAAACCTTGTTTTATTTTTTTATTTTTTACAATAAAATAAACTACTCTTTTTGACATCTTATCATTTTTATTTCCATGTGTTATTGACGTGAGAACTCAAATAATCAATGGGAAAACAATGCTAAACTTGCACACTGAAATAGGTATTCCAGCTGGCCTAGGGAAATATGGCTAGAAAAATATGCTACACCTAAGGGCTACAGGTGGACAAACTATTCCCCCGAAATGTATTTTAAGGATCAAATCACTAAATTCATGATTGCATTGAAAAGCTTTGAATGCTAATTCTTAAGAATGGATGTATTACAAAAGAAGAAAATATGAAGAATTCATATAGTTTATTTCGAGTGATTATTTAGTGTCAAGTTTTGTCTCTAGTGACAGCATGTTACTGGATATCTTATCAAGTGACCTAAACTACAGCAGCTAAAATGAGCATACCAAAATATTATATTTCAGTTATAAGGGATTAGCAATTTATTTATTATCTTAAATCGAGCTGAATTCTTGAATTTGAAGATCTACTGCTATATTGTTTAATATATCGATTTGATGGAACTAAAAGAACTGGTATGTGATATGATCGATTTTACCTTTTTGTCATCATTGCTAAGGAATACAATAATACCATTCCAATTAATGATAACTTACTTATTGTATTACTTGTGCTTGATACACATGTTGGAAGATATGCTTCTAAAATTAGTAAACCATTACCAAATCTATGGTTACCCTGTAGTAGTGAAAGGAACATTACAAATGAATATCACCCCCTTCAATCTATTTTACAGGTTTTTATGATTATTTCATGTTTTTCTATATTTTGTGTAACCAGGACGGTGAATTTTCTTCATTTTTCTTCACACATTTCGTCTTACCAACATTTATTATATCTGTCAAATTCAAGAAAATCGCGTTTTTCCCATTGAGCTCCATTGTAAAAATGGAAGTTTCAAACTCAATATTTTAAAATTCTACGTGGTGAAAAGTTGCATATTGAGTAGTTAGTTAAAGTTATGGTGTAAAAAATTCAAAACAAAAAGGAATAAAGAAAAAATGCCACGGAGAAGTCGTATTAGCATCTCTTTAAGTGCTCATCGTTTCTTGATGCCAATTTTTTCAAGTTTAGAGAAGAAAGTACCTTATCGGTGTTTTACCCATGGATAGCACCTGAAACTACGCAGGCTGCTATATAGTACAGATTTTCAATAGCTTGGAGCTTAAGAGCTGGTGCTTTATTGTAAATTATGTCACAGTAATCTAAGTGGGGTATGAAGTAAGCATTATAAATTGTTTCGAGATGTTTGATTGATAACTTTTTACTAAGAGCATTCAGCGGTCTCATTAAAATGGTCAGTTTTTTAATCAGTTGGTCAATGTGGGTATTAAAGTTTAGGTATTAATCTAACACTATTCCGAAGTGTTTGTGGGTATCTGTCATTGGTATTTGGCCATTTCCTAAGGTTAAAGACAGTCGAGCTGCAAATTGGGTTCTTTGACTATAATATATTAAGTCAGCACTTTTTGGGCTTTAAATTGCATCCGCCATTGATTTGGATTGTTCAGACCTTTTAAGTTTAAGTTGTCAGGTAGATCGTTAATATATATTAAAAATAGTAGGGGACCCAGAACTGAACCTTGGAGACACCAGCATTTATATTGAATGGGGTTTGTTTGGATTAATGAACAGATTGTTGTTATTACAGGTTAATTCTGGATGAAAGGACCAATCGAAAAGGCAATTATTTATACGCCCTTACCCTTCCGTCTTAAAGATAGGAAGTCATCAATGGTTTTATCGTTACATCCGTATGCTTTATGTTTTTTATCAAGGGTTTGTGAGGGGCTAAATCAAATGCAGACGTCAGGTCTGATCAATACTAGTTTGTATATCATGAACAATGTTAATCAGTTGATTCGCTGTTTTGTGGTGGGGTAAAAAACACTTTGAAATGTATACAAAAGAAAGTTATATACATGAAAAAGAAGTCCTTTGGGCTTCATGGGCTAATTTTGCTTCATGGGCTAGTTTTCACTTATTATCTCTCACTCTCTAAACACACTTTCAAACCCATTCTTTCCCATTTCCTGAAGTCTTGCTAAGACATGTGATCTGAGATCACACACAGCTATGCTCACTGGTGAAACTATTAGGGCAGTGGGGCTACCCCTACTTGCACACCCTCCATATTCCCTAGACCTTGCACCCAATGACAATGGCTTGAAAGTGTGTTAAGAGAGTGGGTGAATAGGCATAAGAAGTGTATAGCTAGAGATAGACATTATGTTGAATAGTTTATTTTCATAACAATTGGACTTTAGGACTGTTTTGTATTGTATTTGTCGTAGTAATAGACCTGGGAGTATGAATAAAGCTATCAGAAAGAATAAGTATGTTTTGGAAAGTTGTGATGTAAACAAACTTGCCCCGCCTTTTTGTTGTTTTGGTTGCTATAGCAACCATACCTCTGGCCAATCAAATAGAAGACGCTTTAAATTCTTAGAATAAAAATAAGAAGGTTTGGGCTACAGACTCTGAAAATTTCATCAAGATTGGTGCAATTTAAAGAAAGTTACAATATCTTTCACCTTATTTATTGGACACCCTGTATTTCTTTGTACAGACATATAATCCTGATCATGCAGTTCACTAATTTACCATTGGAATTGGGTGAATAACAATATTGACTATTTAATTCCTTGCTCGACACGTTCTAAGCTTTACAAGTTGCAGTCGATTTACTCAAAAGTGCCCTGGAGGAAAGTAAAAAATCTTGCGCATGCACAATCGAGGCAGGGTCGTTTGTTGTTGTTATTTGAGTGGAGATGATACGATAGAATAAGAATTGTGGGAGCTACTCACTTCTTCCGGTTACGCTCTAAACACGTCTTTGCACAGTATGCGCTTAGAGGTGTGAAGAGTTGGAATCATCGCGTGCCAAGAGGTGTCGAGGTGGGGAAATACATATTGTTTCTCTTTTCGCGTTAAAATTGTGATTTGTGGTAGTTTGGGTTTGTTTTCGTTATGACTGGCGTACTCTTGATTTTTTTGTTTTCTTGCTGTGTTCTGTAACTTGTGCATACATATCCGATGCAATTTATTCAACATGTTCATCTCTACACAGTGACGACGTTGCAATGCTCCATTCGATTATTAACGATTACTAATCTGATATTTACATGAAACCACACTGCCTTCCATGAAAAGCTCAGATAGCAGTCTATTCGTTGAACATTAACCATAAAGATATGGTAATTATTTATAACACATGAACATCTAGTTTGTAGATGATCTCAAAATCTATATTCGTGCTGTGTTTAATTTGATCATATCACAAAATTCACCAATCCTCTTTTTCACCAACCGGCATTTTTAGATTATTGATCGGTCTAACATTGTGTCAAATTCCCCTTTTCGTGCTGCTTATGGTCAGGAAACCAATACTAATACTAATAGCTATAATGCAAAATCCAAAATAAGTGTGCCCCCGATCACTTGGTTAGGCCTTGCTTAAGACGTTTTTGATTAGCTCAATACAATTGATGATTTGTTAAAACGTCTGACCGGGATATCTTTCTCAGAGCGTTCGATGATATTTTATATGAACAAGTATGTTACTTTTTTTTAGGGAAAATACTTAAGGCGCTCAACAGAAAAAAGGTCATTCAAGATGAATACATCGTCACACTTGTCAATGGATTAGCTCCCGAAGAAGGTGAGTACATGCTGATTGCTTTATAAACGAGGGTGACAACACTATCTCTATAATTTTCTAAATTTTATAATATCAAAGACTTGTCTTGGGTACGAATTGACCAGTTACCCTGAAAATGAGTCTTGGAAAATATAGAATATATAGGGTGTTCAGGAAATAAAGATGATAATGTCATAACATTTTTATTTCTTCATGAGCCATGTCTCTTTAATTTTAACTACTACCCAGACATCTCGAAATTCAATTCAATAGACTTAGATCTGGCCTCTTGTTAAAATCACACCTCTATGCTCACAACTTCAGAGAATTAAAGATTATCCGTGTCATTCGTGTGTACCTATGAAAACTATGTATTTTCTTTTGAAATGCCCACTGCTCCGAGATGTAAGAAACAACATTATTGCTGGCTTCCATACTTACAATCTAAGCGACATGTTAAATAATTACAACTTCAATGATAAATTACAATGTTTACATATAAAAACCAAACAACTTTTTTATTCTATATCTAATATTTGCAAACTATACGTATACAGGGTGTCAAATAAGTCGCCCCCCCCCTCTACAGCCAAAACAGGAAAAGATGGTACATAGTGTGATATACCATTGGAAAGATCGTCCAAAGTTAAGTTGATTGGTATATATCAGACACTTGTCAATCAATGTCACAAATTGCTACATTGTTGCAATTAGGGTGCCCGTTTATATAAGAAGGCGGCATTTCAGCACATTTAGGACCATTTTTGAAAACCATTCAAGAAAAGTCAGTCAAGATGGCAATATATGTATGTGATAGTGAGTTACAACAATTTGTGGATAGATTTAGGTGTGTTGCATAAAGAGAGGCAGTGGACAGTGGTGCAGACTTTATTTGTAAGAAATCGATAGAGAAGAAGATTAAGAGATCTGACAAGTTTGTTCAAAGATGCTGGAAAAAGCCGTATGGTGAACTTGTTACACAATCAAGATTTGGTGCTCCTTTCTCCTGCATCAAAGGAAGTTATATGGGATGGATCAGCTAAAAAGGGAAAGAGTTGTTCTGAAGTGGCCAGATATATCAAGATGAAGCGTGGTAAGGTGGTGTCAAGACAATTGGTGCACAATTATCGTGTCCGTGAAGGCCGTAAGGCATGGCACATTTTTGCTAGACCATTGAAGAATGAATCCCAAAAAGCAGATCGCCTTTTGGTTTATTATTTTTTGAGAGATTAGGATGAGGATGACGTTCTCCATTTTGCTCCTTCTAATGAGTTTTTTACAATAAGAAAGCCAAACCATCAGAATGGCCGTGTATGGGCTAAACGGCGTGAGGATTGTAGTGCTTTGCTTGTGCGAGAACAGTTGGCATGGCCCCAATGCATAGGGATTTTCCTCTTATTTACGGCAAAGAAGATGACGCGGATTATTCCGTGAAACAGTTTTAAGGGGAAGGGTAATACTCTTTCTAAGAAATCCTCAGAATGTGATTAAGCCATCCCAAGTGACCTTGTTACATGATAAGGCCCCTTGTATGAAGGCCCTGGCTACGCAGGATCTCCTCAAGCAGTCAAAAATTGGCTTTTTTGGGAATGATGACTACCCTAGTCCGGATAGTAATGCGTGCGAACATATGGGATCCATAGTTCGCCTTGAAAATGCACATGAACATATCCATCTCGTTTTGACGCCATAGAAGCTGCTGGAGGGGGACATACCAACTATTAAAGAAATCATCAAAATAAAGGTGCATGTCATCTAAACTAGTTGAGAGTGGGTAAGTTAATGTAACTCTGGATGATCTTTCCAATTGCATATCCTACTATATACCACATTTTCCTGTTTTGGCTGTATGGGGGGGGGGGGCTTATGTGACACCCTGTATATATTAAATTGCGGCTAATGTTGTAAAACATTAGCAATTAGCTAATTGAAATCGATTTTAATTGTTGTTACGTTCGAAAATAGCAGAAAGTAAAAACAGCAATTAATATATAGCAATGTACGGTACTATCTTTTTGAAAAACTAAATGTGATAACAATAATATATAAATATGACTCAATACTTATGTTATGTAGATGTAGATATAAATGTCGTCTCTCGATGTCGATAAATATTCTTGATGATCCTTGAGAATGTTCCAAATCACGAAACGTTTCAATAATCGATAATAGTTCTCCAGTGTTTTTAATAATCCAATGAGGTTCGACGTAATCCTAAAATGTTTGAATTCAATAATGTTTGATGATAATCCACAAATGTTTATGATAATCCACGAAGAATGTTTATAATAATCCACGAATGTTTATGATAATCTGTATAGAGTGTGTGTTGTAATATACAGTATGTCCATATAAAGTCCTCAGGTTGTATGTTATAAATGCTACCAGAGTAGGTGTCCTGTTATGGATGATTTAAAATGAGGTATTCATGCCACATTCATTCCTCAAATTGACCTGCAAACCCCTTCCATACAACACGCTGACATCACAATACTTTTTGTTTTTGTGACCCCAGTCAGCAAAATATTTCAAACAACACAACAGTTGCATATAAAAAGTTCAAATCTAACTGAAATTTTCCGAACTGGCTAACAACTGAATATGTGACGTAAATGTCGGTACCGGGGTACCTATATCCTCCGTCACGGAAATAAGGATATATCAACATGTATATATATTTTGCTTTCTTCAGAATTTATAGATAATTAAATAATGTATCACTGGAAGAAAAAGCAAAGGGATTGGTCTATAAAAAGTATCTGTGTAAAAAACGTCCATTACATATTGATCACCCCTCGTACGTTTAAGAAAATGTACATATTTGCGAACAAATAGTTAAGAAGACGACAGAATCGTCGATTTAATTCCTCACTTAAGTTCTATAAACGGTATTTTGAAGAAACAGCTAAGATCTGCACTTAAATCAATACCGTTTGTGTAACTTAAGTGAGGAATTAAATCGACGATTCTGTTGTCTTCTGAGCTATTTTTTCGCAAACATGTACATTTTCTAAAACATATTATACTGATACGCGTTTATGTGTAAGAATGAAAGCATGTCTGAGTATTTCAAATCCACCTATTAAATATATGTAGTACTTCATCCATTTGGGTTAATATTATCTTAAAAGGAATCGTTTCCCTGGGGATGCATAAGTATTTTTAATGAATATATTATTTATATTTGAAATCAAAGGTCTATCGACATCGAACGAGTTTTTTCTTCATCTTAGATGCAACTGATTCATCCCGCTCTTGATCAATTCAAACGTTGATCATGACACAAAAACATTTGGCACAAAATGACAAAGTTCATTGCATAAAGTGACCATTTTCTTTTTTCATTCGTGAATTCAAAGCATATTTGTTTCAAATACAATTGCATATTTCAGTTCAGCGTCACCTTGACGACACTGCGCATTTATATGAGATTCCCAATTCAAGGGACATAGGACACATTCTCAAGAAGAGGAAAAGGAGCACGTGCGTATCAGAGAGAGGCCAACAAAACTACTTCACGAAAAATGGATTGCAAGAACTCGTCTATTCAGTGTTTTGTATGTCAGATGAGTAAGTCATTAATTTATTCATTTACCCTAATGTGGATAACATTTTGACCCCTTCCATAGTGTTTCCGGGGTTAACAGTGTACAGTAAAAACTAAGGCATCATATAGTAGGTCATTCAAAACTCGTGCCATTAGAATCTCCAAAAAGTATGTTGAATGAGTAGTCCATGGTATGGCTCATAGATGTTACGATTTCGTGGCATGATGGTGTAATGACCTTCGAGAAACTCGCTACTACAGTCTCAGCTGTAATAGCTAGCCCTTATGGCTCAGGGGTAGAGCGTCTGACTCGAGAGGGGGAGGTCCTGGGTTCGATTCCCGTACAGGGCATTGAACTTAGCACATTCTCTTTCGAGCCTAGTATAAGTAATAAATAAGTGCATCACACAAGGGTGCTTTTCAACGTTTTATTATCTAGAAAAGACAGAGCAGATGTGACAAAATCATGCGAAATATTCAGAAAAGTTATAATTAGTAACATAATAGTTTTGAACTTACACAAACATTATATTCACGGATATTTTTTTCTATATTTTCGTTTCTAAGGGTCAGACAACAGATTATTGTTATGAAATATAAAACGTAATCAAATACAAATATGAAGGATATATCATATAAACAATTTAATTATGGTATTGGAATGTCTACATTTTTAAACTAAATGACTTAAATCGAGGAATGAGGCAGGCGCAGTCAAACGCCTCGCAAGTGTTATAGTGTCAAAGTGCTGTGTCCGTGAAAATAAAATCACCATGCAATTTTGCAAAGATTCAATGCATTATATACATGTTTTACTGCTTCGAAGGTTTGATACATGTTATACTGCTTCAAAGGTTTGATACATGTTATACTGCTTCAAAGGTTTGATACATGTTATACTGCTTCCATGGTTTGATTCTTATTATACTGCTTCTAAGGTTTGATACTTGTTATGCTGCTTCCAAAGTTTGATACTTGTTATTCTGCTTCCATGGTTTGATACTTGTTACGTTGCTTCCAAGGTTTGATAATTGATTTACTGCTTGCAAGGTTTGATACATATTATTCTGCTTCCATGAGTATATACATGTTATACTGCTTCCAAGGTTTGTTATATGTTATAATGCTAACATGGTTTCATACGTGTTATACTGCTTCAAAGTTTTTATACTTGTTATAGTGCTTCGAAGGTTTGATACTTGTTATACTGCTTCCAATGTTCGATACTTGTTACACCGCTTCAAAGGTTTGATCCTTGTTATACTGCTTCCATGGTGTGATACTTGTTAAATTGCTTGCAAGGTTTGATACTTGTTATACTGCTTCAAAGTTTTTATACTTGTTATACTGCCTCGAAGGTTTGATACTTGTTATACTGCTTCCAAGGATTGATACTTGTAATACTGCTATAACGGATTCATACTTGTTATACTGCTTCCATGGTTTGATACTTCCTGTATTGCTTGCAAGGTTTGATACGTGTTATACTGCTTCAAAGTTTTTATCCTTGTTATACTGCTTCGAAAGTTTGATACTTGTTATTCTGCTTCCATGGTTTGATACTTGTTACGTTGCTTCCAAGGTTTGATAATTGATTTACTGCTTGCAAGGTTTGATACATATTATTCTGCTTCCATGAGTATATACATGTTATACTGCTTCCAAGGTTTGTTATATGTTATAATGCTAACATGGTTTCATACGTGTTATACTGCTTCAAAGTTTTTATACTTGTTATAGTGCTTCGAAGGTTTGATACTTGTTATACTGCTTCCAATGTTCGATACTTGTTACACCGCTTCAAAGGTTTGATCCTTGTTATACTGCTTCCATGGTGTGATACTTGTTAAATTGCTTGCAAGGTTTGATACTTGTTATACTGCTTCAAAGTTTCTATACTTGTTATACTGCATCGACGGTTTGGTACTTGTTATACTGCTTCCAAGGATTGATACTTGTTGTACAACTTCAAAGGTTTGATACTTGTTACGCTGTTTCAAAGGTTTCATACATGTTACGCTGCTTCCAAAGTTTGATTCTTTATATATTCCTACCAAAGTTTGATAATTGTTATACTGCTTCCAAGTTTTGTTACATGGCATACTGCTTCCTCTGTTTGTTATATGTTATATTTCTTGCAAGGTTTGATACGTGTTATACTGCTTCAAAGTTTCTATACTTGTTATACTGCATCGACGGTTTGGTACTTGTTATACTGCTTCCAAGGATTGATACTTGTTGTACAACTTCAAAGGTTTGAAACTTGTTACACTGATTCCATGGTCCGATACTTGTTATATAGCTTCCAAGGTTTGATACTTGTTACGCTGCTTCCAAAGTTTGATTCTTGTTATACTGCTTCTAAAGTTTGATACTGCAAGGTTTAATATTTGTTATACTGCTTCAACGTTTTTATACTTGTTATATAGCTTCCAAGGTTTGATACTTGTTACGCTGCTTCCAAAGTTTGATTCTTGTTATACTGCTTCTAAAGTTTGATACTAGTTATAATTTTTCTATGGTTTGTTTTATGCTATACTGCTTCAAAGGTTTGTTATACTTCTTATACTGCTTCCAAGGATCAATACTAGGTATACTGCTTCAATGGTTTGATTATTTGTTTTACTACTTCCAAGGTTTGAGACTTGTTATACTGTTTTCAAGGTTTGATACTTTTTTCTATATTTTTTCATGGGTAAAGGAGTGGTTTCGATATGGTAAACTTTTTGAATACGGGTTTCTCTTAAACCAGTCATCAAAACATCCTGGAAAATGTACACATCGTCAATTTAATGGCAATCTTTTGGATGGTAACATCATAATTTTAGATTATTATATAGTATACGTTTACTCTTTATTGTTTTAGAAAACACAATAGACACTTCGTTCGTTCTTGGTATCAAATGTTCGGAATGAAATGAAACATTATCAGAACCTCGATGGAACAAAACGACTTCGACACAACGTGTTTAGGTGTCTCAATATTGTTATTGTACAAAGGAAAGTTTGGTTGATTTTAAAAGAGTATCTTGTGAATGAAATAAAAGGTTTATCTTAATTTTTATCTATTTTGGGGGGTTTTGTTTTAAGTTTTTGTTAAATCAATCAGAGTTCTCTTTGTATAACTATAATACTGAGATGTCTAAGAAAATGTTGTATGTGCTATTTTGTTCCAACAAGGTTCGGAAAGACATTTTATTTCATTCTCAAGAATTGGAAGAAATGAACAAAGAACAAGTGCACTAAAAACAAAAAAAAAATGGAAAAAACAGTTATATAAAATAGATATGAATAATTTTTGCATTAAATTGTTGCCAATCAGTCAACATTACATAAAGGACCGTGTTTTTACAATAATTGGGTTAAGAGAAAAACATTGTTGCATTCAGTTCACCATATCGATACATATCCTTTGTTTTACAGTATACTTGATTTCATACATGTCATAGTCACTTATATTTAATAAATATATAAAACTTAAAGATAAGAAATGGTACTGGTAATTGTTAATTAAACGTTTACTCTTCATATTCCCATTTTCCGTAATGGGCCATTCAGACAATCCTTTGTTTATCAGGGTTGTGTCGATGTAAGATTCAAATCAGTTTAACCACTTCAAACAAAAGATTTGATGATGAAATACTTGAAATATGCTTTGATAAATTGTTCTGCCCCAACGCTAGCTTCTTTTGGAAAATGTGACAACTGAAATGTATATTTTTTATTTTTAGTGATTTGGAGACTCTTGACAAAGATCCATTGGTTAAAACACTAGAGGAAGATGAACGAATAGGACTGGGTCCTAAAGTTAAAAACTATGAGGAAATATCTGATGTCGAAAATGCATATCTTACAACAAGAGGTAGAGTCAGGGCGCGTTCATTTCGGAGTAGGGGATCGAACCCAATACGGAAAATATTTGGTTCTATACGTAGACTTACTGCTAGACGAAACAGAAGTAGAGCGACCTTTAAGTCACGCATTGGGATGAAAGGTGGCGGCTTGAAAGGATCATTCACCCAACTATTGCAGCCCCAATTGGAGAATGCCAACGAATCTTGCTTCTACGAGTACATAAGCAATTTTGGCCAATGGGTAACTTTACTAGTTTAAGGTCTATTGTTATTGATGTCTATCAATACCACGGTACTCAATTGTCTATTATACTATAATAGTCCATGGTATGACTTCCGAATATGAAGGATCCGTAGCACACTATAGTGCAGCAACATTTGAAGCAATATTTATGGAGGTGCATATGTCTTGATTATTTTAAAATACCATTTGCCGAAAAAAATCCCGGCTTTCAGGTCGAAAAATATATTTCATCACAAGGGGTCAAAAAACGTAAATATTTTGATTCGAACTTTTATATGTTTTATAAAACACAGACCGTTTTTCTAGCATACGAACAAAGATAAGATTATGATAATGTGCAAATATACTGTACTTTTTACTGTAGATGTCCGTGTTTAATTAGTGTAATTACGCAAGTGTGTTTTTCAGATTTTGTTTGATTTTTCAAATATGAGCCAAGCAGATTCAACAAAAGTGTATGAAATATTTAGGTAATTTATACTTGGGAATATATTAGTTATCTTACTATTTAAAACAATTTATTACCACAATTTTTTCACATAATCGGAAGGAGTCAAACAACAAATTATTGTTCATGTTTTATAAAACATAATACAATAACAAATAGGTAAGATTTATATCTAATTAAATGTTACAGAGGTATTGGAATGTTCATATATTCCAAGGGCATGTCTAATAATCAATTAGATTCATATGCAATCGAACGCCTTACAATTCTTCCTCGACGTTACTGCTGGCTATCATCAAGTTTTATTATGGTTGTTTCTTTTTGACCTTACCGCTGGATATCATCAAATTTTAGAAAGATAATGACAACAATTTTTTTCAAATATTCATGAATTCGACCAAGTATTATTGGTTGTTTTATAAGCAACTGAGCTATCTAACTACGAGAAATATAATTTTAGCTGTAGTCCCAATTAGTCAAGGAAGAGCAATAGGCCTTCCTTTATCGATCATGTTCACCGCAGAATAAGAGTCCATATCTTAAAACGTATTGAAACACATTTTGTGAAAAACTAGCATAATTTAAGCATTTGTCATTCTAATACAAAAGTGATTAATTTGTAGCATTTATTGTTTCAATACCTGAGAAACAATACAAAAGGCCGATACACTGATTACATAATTTTTTGGTATTGATAAGAAAAATAACCTCAAACTTATAGCTTAGAAAACTAAATCATATATGTAAAATCATTTTGTATTATTTTCTGTTGCGCTGTGTACTCCAAATTGTGAAAAATTGGGATTTTATTTTTTTGGTAATTTTTTGACCTCTGTTAATGGAAGGCATAATTCAGCCTAAAAGTCGGAAGTATTTGGAATGGTTATAATAAAAATTATTAGCGAACATATGTAGGTATGTTAATATTAGGCCAAATATCGCTGCGCTATAGTGTGCTACCAGGGAATTGTATTAAATATATTTGATAGCATCATGATAGCTGAACAAATGAGTAGGCCGTTACTATAGAAAACCATTTGTCGATTCCGAATTTAGGGTTAGAAAATTGGAAGAGGATTTTCGCTCAAAAACAGGTAGGTGTGATTTTATAAGGTAGTCTGTGAACGTAAGGTAGTGTTTTCTTACGTGACAATGCGCTCATACATATACTGTTAACACTACATCGGGAAAGCATTAAATTGTCATGGCTCGGAGTGACAGCCATCTATCTAGCTTTCTAGAATATGGGATTGAACTAAAACTGATTTTAGATGTCGAATTGTAACAATTGTTTCCGCAATGTACTGAAAATAGTTAATGAGCGTTCAGAGACGACAAAATAAAACTACACCAATCTATTTTTGAATATACAATGGCAGTTTTCTTTGTGTATTTCGTGTTGTACTAAGCAAAAATACTCTACACTGCCTCCTAATATCAACGGTCGAGAAACTAAATCATAATGTCGTGTAACTTATCGAAGTCTCTGTCATTTTGAAATACATGTTTCGAGCCCGCTAAACATGAATATATATGTTCCTGTATTACAGGGACTCGATAGAATTGACGCTGAACATCCAGATTTCGACTCTGCCTTTTCCATAGGATGTATGTACCCATCTTTGTACTATTGTTGTACACGGCTGTAAGGTATTATGATGTAATAGTGTGAGATGTTAGGACTTTTTTCATAATTAGATTGTTTTGAGTGAGTGAGTGAATGGATTATTCAGTAGTGCATGAATGGGTACACTGAGATGAGTTTAGAATGAAAGTATTACACCCCAGTCACATTTGTCGCACGGCGGCCGTAAGTCGACCGCAGATCAATTAAATCAGTGTATTTCTGCGGCGAGCGTAGCAAAACTACGCTCGCCTTGCGGCCTCCGTACGGCGTATCCAGTTTTTCCAGGCCGCCGTAGAAATTATAACTCGGGTTCATTTCTGAGGTCCCCGTAGTCACGTTATCAACAGAAATTTAAAATTCACCGTGCGGCTGCCGCGGGAAATGTGACTGCAAAAGTATGAGAGCGCAGAAATTCTACGGCGAGCGTAGAAAAGCTACTGGCCGCAGAAATGATAGACCGCACGGCGGCCGTGGGAAATGTGTAACACCCCAGTCACATTTGTCGTGCGGAGGCTGTGCGTCGACCGCAGATCAATTAAATATGTGAATTACTGCGGCGACCATAGAAAACTACGCTCGCCTTGCGGTCTCCGTACAGCGTATCCAGTTTTTACAGGCCGCAGGGTCGCCGTAGAAATTATAACTCGGAGTTATAATATTTGTTCATTTCTGAGGTCCCCGTAGAAACCAACTGGCTCAACAAGATTGAATCATAATTTGTCAATGTTTCACGATCACTTTTCATTTGATATTACATCCTAGCACTATATATAACATTTATAAATTGTCCTGATGTAAATAAAATGAAAAAAAAGTATTATTTCTCAACAGAAATTTAAAATTCACCGTGCGGCTGCCGTGGGAAATGAGACTGCAAAAGTATGAGGGCGCAGAAATTCTACGGCGAGCGTAGAAAAGCTACTCGCCGCAGAAATGATAGACCGCAGGGGGCCGTTGGAAATGTTACTGGGGTGTTAGTGCTACAATATTTTTTAACTATGCTCTATAGCTAACGACTCATTGCTACAATATTCGAAAATATGTTCTATGCTATAAAGACTAATTGCTACATCATATGAAAATATGTTCTATAGCTATAAAGACTAATTGCTACATCATTCGAAGATATGTTCTATAGCTAAAAAGACTAATTGCTACATCATTTGAAAATAGGTTCTATAGCTATAAAGACTTATTGTTTCATCATTTGAAGATATGTTCTATAGCTATGACGACTAATTGCTACATCATTTGAAAATATATGCTATAGCTATAAAGACTAATTGCTACATCATTTGAAGATATGTTCTATAGCTATGACGACTAATTGCTACATCATTTGAAAATATGTTCTATAGCTATAAAGACTAATTGCTACATCATTTGAAGATATTTTCTATAGCTATGACGACTAATTGCTACATCATTTGAAAATATGTTCTATAGCTATAAAGACTAATTGCTACATCATTTGAATATATGTTCTATGGCTATGACGACTAATTGCTACATCATTTGAAAATATATGCTATAGCTATAAAGACTAATTGCTACATCATTTGAAGATATGTTCTATAGCTATGACGACTAATTGCTACATCATTTGAAAATATGTTCTATAGCTATAAAGACTAATTGCTACATCATTTGAAGATATTTTCTATAGCTATGACGACTAATTGCTACATCATTTGAAAATATGTTCTATAGCTATAAAGACTAATTGCTACATCATTTGAATATATGTTCTATGGCTATGGCGACTAATTGCTACATCATTTGAAAATATGTTCTATAGCTATAACGACGAATTGCTACACCATTTGAAAATATGTTCTATAGCTGTAAAGACTAATTGCTACACCATTTGAAAATATATTCTATAGCTATAAAGACTAATTGCTACATCATTTGAAAATATGTTCTATAGCTATAGAGACTAATTGCTACATCATTTGAAAATATGTTCTATAGCTATAAAGACTAATTGCTACATCATTTGAAAATTTGTTCTATAGCTATAAAGACTAGTTGCTACATCATTTGAAAATATGTTCTCTGCTATAAAGACTAGTTGCTACATCATTTAAAAATATGTTCTATAGCTATAAAGACTAATTGCTACATAATTTAAAAATAGGTTCTATAGCTATCAAGACTAATTGCTACATCATTTGAAAATATGTTCAAGGTAGTGGCGACGATGTTGACATCTACATATTCATTATAAAATATTACATAGCAAGTTGGGCATTATAAACTGGCCACACTAATCCATGTAATAGAAATGTACAACTTGCTATGTAATATTTTATAATGAAATAAATGGCCATATAATATTATTTTTTGCCAACATAAATCTATTATCTTTTGGAATTTTTTTATGCAACTAGCAGGTATAGCGAAGTAACACAAAGACTAATTGCTACATCATTTGAAAATATGTTCTATAGCTATAACGACTAATTGCTACATCATTTGAAAATATGTTCTATAGCTATAAAGACTGATTGCTGATAATTTGAAAATATGTTCTATAGCTATAAAGACTAATTGCTACATTATTTGAAAACCTGTTCTTTAGCTATAAAGACTAATTGCTACATCATTTGAAAATATGTTCTATAGCTATAGAGACTAATTGCTACACCATTTGAAAATATGTTCTATAGCTATAAAGACTAATTGCTACATCATTTGAAAATATGTTCTATAGCTATAAAGACTAGTTGCTAAATCATTTGAAAATATGTTCTATGCTATAAAGACTAATTGCTACATCATTTGAAAATATTCTTTATAGATAAAACGACGAATTGCTACATCATTTGAAAATACGTTCTATGCTATGAATACGAATTGCTACATCATTTGAAAATATGTTCTATGGCTATAACGACTAATTGCTTCATCATTTGAAAATATGTTCTATAGCTATAAAGACTAATTGCTACATCATTTGAAAATATGTTGTATTGCTATAAAGACTAATTGCTACATCATTTGAAAATATGTTCTATAGCTATAAAGACTAATAGCTACATCATTTAAACATATGTTCTATAGCTATAAAGACTAATTGCTACATCATTTGAAAATAGGTTCTATAGCTATAAAGACTTATTGTTACATCATTTGAAAATATGTTCTATAGTTATAAAGACTAATTGCTACATTATTTGAAAACATGTTCTATAGCTATAATGACTAATTGCTACATAATTTAAAAATAGGTTCTATAGCTATCAAGACTAATTGCTACATCATTTGAAAATATGTTCAATGTAGTGGCGACGATGTTGACATCTACAAAATCATTATAAAATATTACATAGCAAGTTGGGCATTATAAACTGGCCACACTAATCCATGTAATGGAAATGCCCAACTTGCTATGTAATATTTTATAATGAAATAAATGGCCATATAATATTATTTTTTGCCAACATAAATCTATTATCTTTTGGAATTTTTTCATGCAACTAGCAGGTATAGCGAAGTAACACAAAGACTAATTGCTACATCATTTGAAAATATGTTCTATAGCTATAACGACTAATTGCTACATCATTTGAAAATATGTTCTATAGCTATAAAGACTGATTGCTAATAATTTGAAAATATGTTCTATAGCTATAAAGGCTAATTGCTATATTATTTGAAAACATGTTCTATAGCTATAAAGATTAATTGCTACATCATTTGAAAATATGTTCTATAGTTATAAAGACTAATAGCTACATTATTTGAAAACATGTTCTATAGCTATAATGACTAATTGCTACATACTTTAAAAATATGTTCTATAGCTATCAAGACTAATTGCTACATCATTTGAAAATATGTTCAAGGTAGTGGCGACGATGTTGACATCTACATAGTTGATACGTAAGTTCAGTTCAGTTCAGTTCACTATCTTTATTTTCCTTTACAGAATGGTTTCGGGTTTGAACATTCATTTCCCTCACTTTAAGAGCTGCATTACTTTTTGAGTGTAGTTGAATAGAGAGGTTAACGATTGCAAGCAATTTTACTGAAGCCCCGTAGGCGTTTTTTGACAATTTGAAGGTCACCAAAAGGTCCGATTTCAAGCCTTAGGTCATGTTAGAACTCGAAGAAACTTATAAATGATTATTGATAAAAGAGTTGTTAAAATTGAACCAAGTTTAACTATGGTCTTGAAAAATTTCGAAAGGACAGCGAGTTGTTTCTTGGTTGAATCTGGGGAGGTTTTACATGCATTTCGCTTGGGTTTTTCATCCCAAAAATATCTATACACGGGGAAAACATTTTATTGGCTATAAGGTTGCACCATATAATCCTCAAAAAATAATTGTCAAGGATTATCTATGAATTAACATCCAGGTATTGTTATTTTTTAAACTTCAGAGGGCTGGGAATCATTATTGCGATCGTTTTTGAATAATATTAATGCTGTTTAAAATAGGTTTCATGTATGCCAATAATTTCTCAAATTGTGCAAATGGTACCCCTTCATTATTCCCAAGAATATTCTCTTTGAGGAATTCCCCATAGTAATCAAATGGTATATAGTTACAAGAAGATTTTGAAATAGCAGGAACGTTAATCATTAATACATACCTTATTGGTTGTTTTGGTTTATATTGTTACAAACAATTGGGAAAAAATGTTCTGCCATTTTAATCATCATCCACTTTTGAGCAACACCATGTGAGGCCAGTACCCACGGTACTATTTATTGAGCTCTTACATCTCATAACTGGTCAGATTTGAACTCCTGAGAACTTTTAAATAAAAAAGTTTGGTCAAACTTAAGCAAAACTTTTTTTTAATTTGACCTTTGTTTCAAAACTAGTGCATTTTAAAAGACATTTAGAGAAATATACAGGGTGTCCAATAAATAAGGTAAAAGATATTGTAACTTTCTTAATATTGCACCAATCTTGATGAAATTTTCAGAGTTTGTAGCCCAAACCTTTTTACCTTTATTCTGTGAATTTAAAGCGTCTTCTATTTGATTGGCCAGAGTTGTGGTTGCTATAGCAACCGAAACAACAAAAAGGTGGGGCAAGTTTGTTTACGTCACAACTTTCCAAAACATATTTATTCTTTCTGATAGCTTTATTTATATTCCCAGGTCTATTACTACCACCAATACAATATAAAAACAGTCCTTAAGTCCCATTGTTATGAAAATAAGCTATTAAGCACAATGTCCATCTCTACACTAGCTATACACTTCTTATGCCTACATGTATTCACCCACTCTCTGAACACACTTTCAAACCCATTCTTGCCCATTTCTCGAAGTCTTGCTAAGACATGCGATCTGAGTTCATCAGTGCTTCCAAATGTATTTCCTCTCAAGTCACGCTTGAGTTCTGCATATAAGTAAAAGTCATTGGGTGCAAGGTCTGGGGAATATGGAGGGTGTGCAAGTAGGGGTAGCCCCAGTGCCCTAATAGTTTCACTAGTGAGGATAGCTGTGTGTGAACTCAGATCACATGTCTTAGCAAGACTTCAGGAAATGGGCAAGAATGGGTTTGAAAGTGTGTTTAGAGAGTGGGTGAATAGGCATAAGAAGTGTATAGCTAGAGATGGAAATTATGTTGAATAGCTTATTTTCATAACAATGGGACTTAAGGACAGTTTTATATTGTATTTGTGGTAGTAATAGACCTGGGAGTATAAATAAAGCTACCACAACTCTGGCCAATCAAATAGAAGACGCTTTAAATTCACAGAATAAAGGTAAAAATGTTTGGGCTACAAACTCTGAAAATTTCATCAAGATTGGTGCAATATTAAGAAAGTTACAATATCTTTCACCTTATTTATTGGACACCCTGTATATCCCGACTTTGATCCCAAAATATTGATTTGTAGTCACCAATTAAGAGATACTTAGAAAACACAGTTTGTGACTTAGTTTGACCTTTGACCTTGCATTTTTCTTTTTTTAGACCTGAATAGGTCTGTTGTGATTAAAAGTACCTATATCTGAGTCCAGGAAAACAATTTGAAAAATCAACTTTTTGACCTTTCGAAGGTCACTGAAAGTCAACCAAAGGTCAAATGTAAGGTCAGATTTGAGTTCCTGAGAACTTTTAGATGATTTTCAAAAAATGGTCAATTTCGAGCAAGTTGAAAAAATCCTTTTTTGACCTTCAATATCTCAAAATGTAGGCAAAGTTTGTCTCGACGGATAGAGGCTCGCACTAATAAAACACTAATATCTATCTGTATGCAAAAATGTAGGCAAAAATATTGAAGTGTAGCGTCAGAGAAGTAGCGCCAAATGAAGTGGAAGTTGGTGATTAATTAATATTTGTTCATTGTTGTAGAGGCATTTTAAACAATCATGATGCTTTTCGAGATGCTGTTACAAACAAATCTCGGGTTATTCAGGTAGGTAAAAAAAACTATATAAAAAAATGTTATAACATAAATTTTGATCCTGTAATCAAGTTTGAAACAATATTGGATGCTTTTCAATACACCATATCGATTAGTCGATCATATTAGACGAGACAACTGTGTTGACCATTTAATCCTTCATAACCTAAACATCATGGCTTTGAATTTGACAGTAGATCATATTCATATTATAGGAGGACAGTGGCACTGGTGGATCCAGAAGCTAATAAGGGGTGGGGGCAAATTTCAAATCTTGAAAAAATATTTGGGCCCCTAGATTTAAAATTTGGGCGAAAATCTGAAAAAGAATTAGGCCCATTTTTGACAATTTTGGCCGAAAAAGATTAAGTAATGGCCTAAAAGGCCAACTAATTGAGGCCATACGAAATGGTTTTTCGGCCCATCCAAGGGGCGGACCCCATGCCCCCCCCCCCCCCTTTGGATCCACCCGTGGAGTGAAAATAATTAATTTCCTTATAACCTCATCATTATTTAACAGTAGACCATATGGCTCACGAACAATTCATTCCCTAGACATCTCATCCCTGGACATCTCATCCCTGGACAACTCATCCCCATACCGACCATATTATAGGAAACAGTTGTAAAGATCATTCAATTCCTTATAACCTCATCATTTTGTTATTGCACTTAACAGTAGACTATAATATAAGAGACCATTGTGATGATCATTTAATTCTTTATATCATTAACATTATGGCATAGTATTTAACAGGAGACCGTATAGAATGAAACCATTATGAAGATCATTCATTTCATTATAACCTCATCATTATGGCATTGCATTTAACAGTAGACCATATTATAAGAGACAAAGGGGAAGGTACTTTTATTCTTCATAATCTTGACTTCATAGCATTGCTTTTACAGTAGACTGTATTAAACGAGACCATTTTGAAGATCATTCAATTTTTCATAACCTCATCATTATGGCATTGCATTTAACAGGAGACCATATTATAATATACCGTTGTTATGATCATTTAATTCTTTATAACCTCAATAGTATGTGATTCCATTGAACAGTAGACAATATTATAAGAACCTATTTTGAAGATCATCCATTTTGAAGATCATTTTCATCTTTATAACCTTAACATTATGGCATTGTTTTTAACAGTATACAATATTATAGAAGACCATCGTGAAGATCATTTGATTCTTTAGAACGTCATAATTATGGCATTGCATTTAATAGTAGACCATATTATAAAATACCATTGTCAAAATCACTTTATTCTTCATTACATTGAAAATATTGCATTGCATTTAACAGTATGCCATATTATAGAAACCCATTGTGAAGGCCATTGTATTCGTCAAAGCCTTAACATTATGGCATTGTTTTTAACAGTAGACCATATTACAGAAGACCATCGTGGATATCATTTGATTCTATAGAACCTTTTCATATTGGCATTGCATTTAACAGTAGACCATATCATAGGAGGCCATCGTGATGATAATTTAATTGTTTATAACCTCAATATTATGGCATTGTAATTAACAGCAGGAGGCCGTATCATAGGAGACCATTATGAAGATCAATTCCTTATAACCTCATCCTTGTATTATTGCTGTATGGATCTCATTTTATAAGCTAGATATATGGTAGGCTTAATGAAAATTAGTTTCAAGCATATGTGGTGACATCATCTTGAACATTCTTTGATTGATTTCTTGCAGGGTTATAGCTCCGTGAGTTTTCCGGACGATGATACTACTGACTATGATGGTCATGGGACACACGTAGCTGGTAAGTAAACAATATACTAGATAGATATGACAACAGGATATGATGAAAACATTTCCAGTTATAAGTTGGTTATTATTTCCAAAATTATTTTTTTGATTTTTGAAATGTCACAACCTTTTCTAGATTCCTATAATTATCCTCAACATTTCTATGTAAACATAGAATATATAAACATTGCCATATAACACGACCCTAATAAGTATAGCCACTTTATTAAAATCTGTTTATAATTCCCCTCTATTACATTAGTTCGAAAAATAAAAATGAAGATGATTCTTATGCTGCCAATTATACTTTAGTAAAAACGAAAATCACTCATTAAATCAGCAAATATTAACAGGTTATTAGATTCGGAAATGAGATACTCTCAAACTTTCAGAGATAACTTTAGGTTGAGAATATATTTCAGGTGTGGCAGGTGGGCATCTCTATGGCGTTTGTACTGGGGCAAATCTCATTCCAGTGAAAGTCATCGACCTTGACCCCGAGACAAACGAAGCAGTTGGAACAAAAACGTAATGAATCATAATTTGTGTTTCAACTTAATGATTTGTTATTCCAGATTTCGTCGTTTTCGATTTTTGTCTCAGTGATGAAAGCAAGCATGTATTGAACACACATCAATAATCATTTCAGGAGTTTGATCGAAGGTCTTGAATGGGTAAAACGAATGTATCGACAACGAGGTAGAAAAGCTGTAGTTAAGTAAGTTGCTACGTCGGAGAAGATATTATTAGCATGTTATATTATTTCAATTGGAGAGGATTTTTGAAAAACAATTTTGACTTTTAAGACTTATAACTTTGTTGAACCTGAAGAAACGTATCAATTTTTTGTTGAATAAAGTTAGCAAATTCAATTGCCTACCTAACTTATATTTCTGCAAGGACTCGGATGGATGGATATTCTATCATGACTTGCTGCAAACCTGCTATTTTCCATTGGTTAACATGGGAATGTCGATTTTCGAAAATTCATCAAATTTATCATCAAATGTCGACCTATTGTAATTGAATGAGAAAATTTAGAAAATTTGGAGGTATAGGAAATAGAGTTAAATTACGTTTCCATCAATAGTACAAGTATTTTCTTCGCAGGTAAAGTAGATAAAAATTCAAAGGTGATGAGGCTTTAACACGTAGTTCAATGGGGGAGCTAAGGTTGCCAAACTTATGGAGGCGAGTGTATATCCTCACCGCTTGTTTTGTATAACGCAATCCGTATACATGTCACTAGTACTCACTTAGTTGCGCTGACGATACGTCAGTGTAACAAGATGGAAGAACTTCCGGGCTTCGTTTTCGGTGAGATATTTTTATTTCTCGATTCTTCACCACTTATGAGTCAAGCTGTAGACAATATTTTGGCTCAAAGTTAAGGAAGATAGTCTAGTTTGAGAATATGCAGGTGGTTCTATGTTTGGTATATTAACGAAGACGCAATTTACATATTTCACCCTTTAAAAAAATGTCCCAATTGATGTTGCCGTATGTTATCTCGGAAAATATTAGTGGTGTATCTTTAATTTCTGTATATATTTCATCAATAACCTCAAGGCCATATGTGAACATTAATTTTGAATGAGAATTTCATGAATGTATTTTTACCAGGCTCTAAAGTGTCAAAACGAATCATTCGTTACTGTCGCCGTTTTTAATTTTGATTTTCAAGTCATGTTTACAGGTATTTATTATCATATTTTATTCGATTTCCAAACTACTTTACTTCGCCATCGCGTGTTTCTAAGATAAAATGATAAACAAAACCCATCTTGAACGATGTATTATTTTGTACAGCCTTTCAAAGAAGTGTCGCCAGTTTCAGAAGATTCAGAAAAATCATCGTTACTTGGTTCATTCATTCCAATTATATCGGAGTCTGGAATTGAGAAATGAAAAAATAATTTGAAAGATTGTTTATGTTTTCAGTAGAGGACATGCGTCAAATCCAAGGTGTGTCTGCATTTTTTCACATTTGTTTGTAGAAACAAGCCAGTGCGTTGAGTTCATTTTAAGAAAAAAAGTTCGTTACCATGAGAAAAACGTGTTAGACCATATGGCCTAAGCTTTTACTCTTTCCATAAAATGATATCAACCAAACAATAGAAATCAACTACTTGGAGTTTGTGTAACCCTCTTGCAATAAGCAAAAAGTCCAATTAACCACACGTTCGAAATCATTGTTATTGTATTATTTGTTACCAGGAATACAGGACTATAACTTGTTGCTAAAATGCGGCATTATTATTGGTTTTAGATTTCTGACGGAAGTGAGTTGGAGTCTGCCGTTGCTTAAAAATTGGATGTTGCACTTCTCTCGTATGGAAATTCATACCAATAAGAAAATATCCATCACAGACGAAATTTACTTATTTTGCCGATCATACAGAATACTCATACACAAAACGATAAAATAGTTTAATATTGCATAAAACTAGCTTGGTTGTATTTTTGAAAGCTTGGGAATTCGATAACTCTTGTTGTAAATGGTGAATTCATCGTTACGTTCGTAACGATGAATTCAATTACTAAGATGCGAGTAGGTAGTTTTCGCCACCAGGTGGCAGGGTATTACAAAATTCCCTTAAACATCAGTTTTAGTGGTTCACTTTTCATATTAACCTTTTGAATCTGATAGTTATACAAATTAGAATATGTCCAGTAAAAAAAATCATCTGCCCAACACAAGAAAAGATATTTCACTTTTTGTGATTTTACAACATGGGCTCTATGGGGAATCTCCCCGACCTAGAAGTCACATTTTCAAAGAAAATTAAATTTTCAAAGTTGATAAACTCTTTTCAAAACCACATTCCTAGATGTAATTTTACATGTAAATTCCAAATATGACATCAGTTTGACTGAATTTTGAATTTTTAATGATGTAAATCAAGATACTATCTACTCGCATCTAGTCTATTATCTGTGTTAGGATTATGAACATTATGACATTGGTATTTCTGTTCACAATTGATTTCCATCAAAACTGGAGGATCTGACCGTCATTAGTTCAAAGAGTTGAAAATTCGCATATTTACGTTTAAATCGTATTAATTCCTGACTGATACATCAAATGAGTTATGGAACGAATAATTATAATATACTAGGCCCGGGATATAAAGATTATGCTTTATTCATAGAATATTATAAATGTTAAAAACATTTGAGTATAGTGCCCAAGAAATGATGAATCCAAATGTATAGGTTTTCAACCATGCAAATCCTTTGAATAGTTAATTTTTGCAGATGAAAAAGACAGCAAAAAAAGTACAAAGCGTATAGTATCATTTGAAAGCAAAAGACAAGGAAAAAGGGAGAGGGAACGAAGGGATTAGATCTAGACCTAATCGAATGAGTTATCTTAATCTGATAGGCTGAAAAAATATTATACAGCTCATGGACGTACGTAACGATGATTGGTATTTTTGTTCAAAATTGATTTCCATCAAAACTAGAGGATCTGACCGTCATTGGTTCAAAGAGTTCGAAATTCGCATATTTACGTTTAAATCGTATTAATTCCTGACTGATACATATAATTAGTTATGGAACGAATAATTATGATATACTAGGCTCGGGATATAAAGAGTATGCTTTATTCATATAATATTATAAATGTTAAAAACATTTGAGTATAGTGCCCGAGAAATGATGAATCCAAGTGTATAGGTTTTCAACCATGCAAATCCTTTGAAAAGTTAATTTTTGCAGCTGAAAAAGACAGGAGCAGAATTACAAAGCGTACAGTAGCATTTGAAAGCAAAAGACAAGGAATAAAAGGGAGAGAGAACAAAGGGATTAGATCTAGACCTAATCGAATGAGTCATCTTAATCTGATAGGCTGAAAAAATATTATACAGCTCATAGCCCAATCTGATCATTGTTCAATGAAAACTAAGTTTTCAAATTAGCAGAGTAATTGCTGCACTGCCCTCCGTTTAGTCAAAACACATGTTCCCCGCTACAAATGTAGAATGGGGTAAAGTAGACAATAGCTAGGCAAATGACTGTTTTAGTGGAATCATACATGTAATTATGATGTAGATATATGATCAAGGCAATCTCATTTGATGTTGATTAATTTTGTGTGGCACTTTAAGCATTATTACATTATAGTAACGAAACTTTCTTCCAAGGCGATTTTTTGTTCAGCGAATGTAAGGATTACTTATTGCTTGTGTATGTGCGGGTGTTACTGAAACATATTTTATACTAAAACTAAAACATTCTAAGAAGTATGAACATTCTTATAAATATAAACTATAATCCAAGTTTTACTAAATGTATACATAATTTCGGTTATGTGACAAAAAGTATTTACTAAATACTTTGATATTGTACATTTGTATTCCTCCTCAGGGAGAGCAATCATGTAACAAACGTGTTACGGATTCACCTAATGTTTTTTCTTCATTGCAATGTGATTAATCACTGGAAATGACTACCCAATCTTGGTTACACTGTATTCGTTATCTTAATTTTTCTGATTAAAACAAAAAGTACATCCAGGAATCTTTGTTACTTTATGATGCTTAAGTTGAGATATATTTTTTCACGAATGTCTTCAGTAACCGCAGGAAAAAACAGCCCAACAGGTTTCCCTTAGTTGTAACTTTCAATTTAACTAGAATATAATAAGTTTCCCATCGTTTGTAATCCAATATATAAGTTGCTATATATGACATTTTTTACAATTTAAAAACGAATGGTTAATTTTAAGACCATGTGATTTTGCTTTGCTGTACATATTCTGAAGTTTTGTTTGATATTCAGAATATCGACTCATATAAAGTTGACGCAATAAATATATATTTTAATAGCACGGAGGTTTTTAATGCCTTATTCCAATCAATTTTGGTTGACATATGATATGCCACATTTTAAATATTGTCACATTGGCAATATTCATGAAGATCGTCAACGTAACAAAACCGAGGGACTAAATATGTAAATTGCGTCTTCGTTAATATACCAAACATAGAGCCGCCTGCATATTCTCAAACTAGACTATCTTCCTTAACTTTGAGCCAAATTATTGTCGACAACGTAACTTATAAGTGGTGTAGAATCGAGAAATGAAAATATCTTACCGAAAACGAAGCCCGAAAGTTCTTCCATCTTGTTAAGCTGACGACTAGGTGAGTACCAGTGAGTGTAGGATGGTCTGATTGACAGATGACAACACTTGATAGCGTGCATAGATCTCAGAAGGTCCCTTTGCGCAGCCGGTTTTTGATTTTTGACATGCTGTTTTGAGTTTATCAGTACTCGCATTATATGAAACTGATCTGTTTTATGTTTATAAGACTTGCTGATGATGCTCTTAGGCCACTTTGTACATATTTTCAATGAATTAGCTTATTTCATTGCTACGTTTCACTTTTTGGGGACTCCCGATATGGTTAGCCTAAAACAATTAACATTTGGCCTCGTCATGGTTGAACCTTTAAACCTTTATTGTAACTCCCGTTGTTATAGCTATATATAGTATATATGAGCATTGAATTCTAATTTGTTTTCCAGTCTTTCTATCGGTGGAGAGAAGAGTGTCAGTGTTGATGACGCTGTATTGAGTTTGGTGCATGAGGTATTTAACATAAAAATTTGATATAAGACAAATATGATATCCTCTAACGACTTGCTTCATATCTTTATCCCTAATGTCTGCAGGGAGGAAGGGTCAATCTGACCCTCTCGATTTTTCCATTGGACTTTTGGCGATTTTGTTATTTCGGTTTTCTAGTTTGAGCCAAAGATATGACACTTATTGGCGTAGAAACTAAGGTGATTGGGGGTAAAGTAGCAATGTTTATTGCTCTGTTTGATAAATAATTGTATTTTCTTCCCATGTCCAATTTCTTTATTTCATGAAAATTAAGCCACTATTGACTATGTTATGAATTTTTAAAGGTTAACAACAGTCGATCGGCAAGTACTCGCGAAACGCGTTCTTTTTCACGAATTTGGGAGAAAAACTTTTTTTCTCAAAAATTGCGGATCAAATACCTTTAAAAATATTTTTCGTATTTCTGAATGCAAATGCAAACTGTTGTATCAGAATTCGAAAAATACCCTTTCCAAAATTTGGGTATAGTTTTCTTTATTCTCCCCTGCCCACAATTATTGTATTTATATTGTTTCTGGGTGGTTGCTTGGCAAAATCATGCACCGAAAGTATATTGAATAAAATATTAAGTCAAGCAATCTTTGAAAGTGCATAAGTTCAGTTATAGAAAAGCGTTTACCTTGGTTTTAGCTTCATTTGAAAAATAACAGATTATTCTTTTAAAAGGCAAAGCAATTTCAGCACCAAAAAATATTGGCGGGAAATGGGCTGACGATTAAGTTGATAGCCCACTCGCATGTGAATTTTTACACCTAACTTTCAAATAATTATCAAAAGAAAGCTAGGTGATAATTGGAGATGATTTTCAATAGGCTTTTTTCAATTGGGAAATGACTAAAAAGACAGGGATCTGGTGCAAGGTCACGTGACCCATTCTCGTTCTTAAACAAGACGTGACAATCTTAAAATTCCCAGGAAGTTTACCCTTCTAAAAAATTCGACCTTCTTTAAAAAATGTATTTCTTCATGTTTCCTACCGATTAAATTCACCATGTTTTATGAGATGTTAATTTCTAATGTATGAAGAATGCATTCGTAAAATAAATATCAAGAGATTCGTAATGAGCCGTAGAAATAAGTGAATACTCGAGATTTTGCAAAGGACTGATCTTTAGCGATCAGGAATTGTATATTCCACTGTTGTTATGCAGCTCGTTGAGAATTCCTTTTGAGAAGTGACGTCATTTCAAAACCCCCGGCATTATCAAATCTTCATCGCTATTACCAACTAATTTACAACTAATTATCAACAATTTTGCTGGCAATTGGAATTAAAGTTAAGCGTTAATTAAATCAATGATAATTATGGCCTAATTATCAGTAGCAAGTTAAACGTAAATTAACTTACAATAATGCTGATTTATGATTTTTAGTTGATAATTAAGATTAATTTGAGGGTGATAGTAAGTGGTAAATTAAAACGTTTTTGTTCTGAAGTAGATTATTGGTTGATAGTTAACATATAGGATGATCACCCAATTGAAAAATAAAACTAATTACCAACTTATTACCAACTAATTTACAACTAATTATCAACAATTCTGCTGGCAATTGGAATTAAAGTTAAGCGTTAATTAAATCAATGATAATTATGGCCTAATTATCAGTAGCAAATTCAACGTAAATTAACTTACAATAATGCTGATTTATGATTTTTAGTTGATAATTAAGATATGAAATGTTTGAGGGTGATAGTAAGTGGTAAATTAAAACTTTTTTGTTCTGAAGTAGATAATTGGTTGATAGTTAACATAAAGGATGATTATAATGATAATTAGTCGTAAATTAGGCCCATGATTTAGAAATACAAACCCCCTAAATTTAATTTCAAGATGGTGGAAAAAGAAAACATGTGAGAGATATTTCTCTCATAAAATTGAGAATTACAACGTGAATGGTGCGTATACTACCATGAAATTTGGTCAACATTATTATAAGGGTATGTAGAACATGAATACAATGTATGTTAAATCTTATTCATACTTCTGTCTGAAATGTTTATGAATTTAAAAATCTTTTTGAATCAGATCATATAATATTAATCCTAGAATGCAATTTAGGTACTAACATGGGTTACCTATATTTCACAAGTAATCCAAATGTGCTCTTCTAAATAATGATTGTTAGATCAAAGACATTTCAAAACATATTTTTGATTATATCTGTTACGTCCTTATTATGTAACATTATAGTCTAATGTTTGTGTTCTGATTTTAGTTGTTGATGGCAATAATGATGTTTTCACATGCTTTTCATGAATCTTAAAAATTTGCAAAATAGAATAGCTTTAAAAAAGAGGTGGAGAAACCCCAGGGTTTAAAGATGACATACGCTTATAATGTAAATCTGTTTTGAGATGACATTGTCGCTGATTGGTTTAGCGAGTCGATCTTTGATTGGTTTAAAACTAGGTCAATTTGAAAACTTTGAAAACCAAGATGGAGGGTACGTTTTCGACAAAAGGAGGTGTGCGAAGGAGGAAATCGTATGTCATCAATTGAATCATAGGGTTTTCCCTCCTCTTGCTGTGCAATTTCAAAAGTTCAAGTTCAATGTTGTCTGTTCTGAAAGATCCTAATTAAGATGAATATTCCGTCACAAAATAGTTCAAGATGAAGCAAAAATCTCCGAGTGAAGAGAAGCAAAAAAGAAGCGAGTCATTTTTGAGATGTCACAAATCTGACTTTAACCTAACTTTCAACTAATTATCAATAGTAAGTTAGGTGATAATTAGAGATTAACTTACATCAAACTTACAACTAACTTTCAACTAATTTACGTAAATAGCTCATTTGCATATTGATGGTAGTTAATCGTTAATTAAGTTGCAAATTAAGCGTTAATTAAGTTGATAATTAGCTCATTTGCATGTGAATTTTTACACCTAACTTTCAACTAATTATCAATAGTAAGTTAGGTGATAATTGGAGATGATTTTCCATAGGCTTTTTTCAATTGGGCATAATGATAATTAGTCGTAAATTAGGCCCATGATTTAGAAATACAAACCCCCTAAGTTTAATTTCAAGATGGTGGAAAAAGAAAACATGTGAGAGATATTTCTCTCATAAAATTGAGAATTACAACGGGAATGGTGCGTACACTACCATGAAATTTGGTCAACATTATTATAAGGGTTTGTAGAACATGAATACAATGTATGTTAAATCTTATTCACACTTCTGTCTGAAATGTTTATGAATTTGAAAATCTTTTTGAATCAGATTATATAATATTAATCCTAGAATGCAATTTAGGTACTAACATGGGTTACCTATATTCCATAAGTAATCCAAATGTGCTCTTCTAAATAATGATTGTTAGATCAAAGACATTTCAAAACATATTTTTGATTATATCTGTTACGTCCTTATTATGTTACATTATAGTCTAATGTTTGTGTTCTGATTTTAATTTTTGATGGCAATAATGATGTTTTCAAATGCTTTTCATGAATCTTAGAAATTTGCAATATAGAATAGCTTTAAAAAAGAGGGGGAGAAACCCCAGGGTTCAAAGATGACATACGCTTATAATGTAAATCTGTATTGAGATGACATCGTCGCTGATTGGTTTAGCGAGTCGATCGTTGATTGGTTTAAAACTAGGTCAATTTGAAAACTTTGAAAACCAAGATGGAGGGTACGTTTTCGACAAAAGGAGGTGTGCGAAGGAGGAAAGCGTATGTCATCAATTGAATCATGGGGTTTTCCCTCCTTTTGCTGTGAAATTTCAATAGTTCAAGTTCAATGTTGTCTGTTCTGAAAGATCCTAATTAAGATGAATATTCCGTCACAAAATAGTTGAAGATGAAGCAAAAATCTCCGGGTGAAGGGAAGCAAAAAAGAAGCGAGTCATTTTTGGGAAGTCACAAATCTGACTTAAACCTAATTTTCAACTAATTATCAATGGTAAGTTAGGTGATAATTAGAGATTAACTTACATCAAACTTACAACTAACTTTCAACTAATTTACGTTAATCAGTGACAATCGACCAATATATAGCTCATTTGCATATTGATGGTAGTTAATCGTTAATTAAGTTGCAAATTAAGCGTTAATTAAGTTGATAATTAGCTCATTTGCATGTGAATTTTTACACCTAACTTTCAACTAATTATCAATAGTAAGTTAGGTGATAATTGGAGATGATTTTCCATAGGCTTTTTTCAATTGGGTATAGTTTACGAATACCACATGTCGATGTGATGTTTAAATAGATAAAAGCGAATTCCTTACACATTTTTTATCTTATTGTGAAATGGCAAACTATGCAATTTTAGAAAATTTTGAAACCGCCATCTTGGTAATATTGATTAAGGTCAGGGTGCATGATGGGAACTTTTCTGCATCCCTCAATTGAGTCACATGTTATTTTTCAAGCAAAAATTACTCCTTTCCCACATTGTCTTTATCTTCCAGTTTTGCGCAAAGAGTGCACTCATGTGCCTAGAAAAGACTTGTGAGAAGAATGTTTTGATGAAGTGTATAAAAAACAAGAAAATTCAGTGAAAAAATTCAGAACTTTTTCAGAATTTTTTTTCACTGAATTTTCTCATTTTTTGCCTTTCACAAAATAAATCTTCTCACAAGTCTTTTCTAGACACATAAGTGCACTCTTTGTGCAAACCTGGAAGATGTAGACAATGTGGGGAATGAGAAATCCTTGTTTAAAAGATAACATGTGACTCAATTGAGGAATGTAGAAAATTTCCCAACATGCGCCCTGGCGTTAAGTGATCACCATCGGTCAAGGTAAGGCCAAGGGTCATCCATCTTGCCGTTTGCTTGGCCGTATCTTACCAGTCGACAAAAAAACAATGAAATCACGTTAAAAATAAAACATACACTTTAAAATTGAGGCTGATTGAATACAAAAAGACTCTATTGAATACAGTTGCGCAAGTTACGGTCACCAAGATGAGCTTATTTCGAAGGGATTCGGGAAATAAAAAAGTAA